CATATTCTGGTCACTGTCTCTCGTCTCTCGTCTCTCGCAAGCCGGTTGCTGATTGGCTAATTCAAATGATTAGCCAATCAGCGACCGGCTTGCGAGAGACCAGAGACAGTGACCAGAATACGGCTCCAGTATGTTGTATCTAATTATACAAGTAATTAAAGGGAAGAAGGTTTGCCAAAAGTATATTGTTGTACTCAATAGAGATGGAGGAGTCAAGAGTGGCTCAAAAATGTAATTAATGGACGTCTCCTAACTTATAGTACAGACTATGCTTCTTTAATTAATCAACAGTAAATATCTGTAAGCAAATCTTTGAGAGAAAACAGTTAAAAATAGAATTAAAAAAAAAAGTTTGGTGAAAATTTATTAATGTTATCTTAATAATTTTTAGTATATTTAGAATGAAAAAAATTCTAAAAATCACTTATTAAATTTGGCAAATGTGTTGAGAAAGTACAAAGAATATTTTAGATCTACGTATATTTATGATAATGACTATTGATTCTGACTATATTCCAAATGAACTAAATCAATATATTTACATAAGAGAAAATGATTCACCTGAAATTTGCTTTTAGAAAATGAAATGTATCTAAGAAACGCATTAATATAATTAAAATATATGTAAAATTCAAAAAAGTTGTGATTCAGAAGTAGGATATTAATGAATTAAAAATATAAATATCGATAATGTTTACTTTTTATATATAATTCTGTTGATTTATAAATCCTTTTTATAGTTATGACAATCGGTTATATCATTTTAATTTATAAAAAATATATTAATCCATCGGCATTTTTCTGTAATTTAAACTCAAAATTTCATTGAAATTATTGTTAAATTTCAAAGTTCCTTTATTTATAATATTGATTTAAATGTATTATTTTATTATATTGATTATATAAAAGTTACTATGTAAAAAAAATACGCTTCTATGGAAACATAAAATTGATTCAGTTAACTTTTGTATTTTAAAAAATATGATTAGATAAAGTTCGAATAATGTGATTCGAATTTACGTTTTAAAAATGGCCCGTCTTCGATATTTTACACCTAACGAAATTGTTCTTCACAACAAATCGGATGATTTGTGGGTGTCGTTGTTTGGAAAAGTTTATAATTTGACTTCATTATACGAAAAACACAAGGGAAGTTGTCTATTTGATCCAATTTTGGCTTTTGCAGGCAAGGATATTTCTAGTTGGTTTCATCCTAAAACTCTAAATCCAAAAACACACGTTAATCCTAAAACCAATTCTATAACTCCATTTACCCCCTTTGGAAAGTTTATCGATTTGTCTTTAGTAGCAACAGATTTTCAGGAATGTAATATTGAAGAACATTTTTCAGAAGCTACCAGTGATCGTTCACAAAATGCCCATAATATAGAAGAATGTAACCAAGAGAAAACAGACGAAGAGATAACAAACGAAACAGATAGACCTAAGCTTCCTTGGTGGAAAGATGATTCTTACGTAATTGGATTAGTGACCTCAAAACCCAGAAAAATTCATATTGTTAATATGCTCCTATTGAAGGGCGTAACAATTGAGGTTTGCTGCGAAGAAAATATGAACGAGATATTAAAACGTTATCTCAAGTATAATACCCATGCAAACAGTTACACTTGGAGATATCGAGGAAAAGATCTGAATATGTTAGGAACTTTAGAAGAGAATGGTATCAAAGATATCAGTGAAGACCTTTACAGGTTAAAACTAAATGAAGATGATTTCATTCCAATCATTCATCTTTATTATAATGACGATTTAACTGTAGTTTAAAAATTATTTATTATTTTAATCGTAATAAATTATAAATTTAAGCAAAATTACCTTTGTAAGCCTTATGAATTCGGCCTTATGACCTCAGCGGTTACCACTTTGGATGCCCAGGATCGAGTCAGAACTAGATTGATTGAATTTTCCACAAGTACTGGCGATCTCCAGGACTTGAATCTTCCATGAGTGTTGGCCCTTCGGGATTCTGGATTATATGGCGGTTGCTGGACTCAGTTGAAGAGGCTATAACTGTCCTCGTGGATCTACAGATGGGTAGGTCTGTTCTCGTCTCTCAACTTCATCTCTCATCTTGGTGATCTCTGCGTAATGGGCCTTTCAAATTTTAGACCTGGGTGACTTCTTTAAAAAAAAAAACCTATATGAAAACTTGAATTTAAACTTTAATTAATTAATAATGAAGGTGTTCTAAATATAAAATTTCTTGTTGACAAGCAAGAACAGTTAGTTTAAGCTGACTAATAATCTAAATATATTCGAGAGATTATAAAATATTTATTCAGACGTATAAAACATTGAATGCGATTTAAATTTTTAAAAATACTTTTCAAATCGATCATCTGAGAGAAATCATTGCGAATTTACTCAGTTATTCTAATGTCTTTTATGAACAGAAAATAAACTTTAATAACAGGCTAATAAGTGATTAAAACAAATTTATAGACGTACGTGTTTCAAACTTATTGAGAAAATTAACTATTCGATCGTCTAGCGAAGAAATATAGGTCATTAATAGAAAATATAGCTCATAATTCATCAACACCATATTAAAATTGTTGAAAAAGTGTTATAATTTGACCCCGTCCGAGATATAATATTTTATCGTGATGACAAAACGAAATTTTATTGAACGAATTATTTAGTAGACAGGTAAATGTACTTTAATGTATTTGTTATGGTAACTGCATAACAATCTATCAAATATTTTAAATGGCTCGTTTAAGCTTATAATAATTAAATTATATATATTTTTTCTGTAATAAATGTACTTTTCTAATGAAAACTATAGCCATTATATCGTATTCTGAAATGTATATAATATTAAATTGCAATAGGCTGTAAGCATGAAAAGCATGGCGCAAAGAAGAAAAGACGCCATTTTCTCTTTCATTTTATTTCACTTCTAATTATAACCTGAAAGGCTTATTAAATATTAATATAGATCTAATAATTTATTCTCATTAAAATCGACATTTTTCCATAATTCAATTTTTGTTTTTTTCTTTCTTTTTTATTTTTTATTACTAAGTAAGAAGTTACTAAAATGAGAGAGAAGAAGAAAAAGGTAAAAAAGAAACGTTTTATTAAAGATAATTTTCTCATATATCTGCCACTCCCACTAAAGAAATCAAAAACTCAGCCAAAGAGTTAAAAATAAGCTTTGAATCGATCCGAGATTCAATCTTCTCGGAAAAACGCCATCGAAAAATCGTCACTGACGTCACCACCACCCTACGCCAAAAGAAATTCGATAAATTATAACAAATTAAATATTATCACGATTAATTAATATAATATATTATTAATTATTATTAAATTAATTTAAATAAAAATAAACTTCCCGATATAATTAATTAAATTTTTTTTTTTTTTTTTTTTTAAATAAATCACACACCGGCAATCCAGGGGGCGTTATAAGTCCGCAGTTGATTTGCTGCAAAATTTCGATGCTTTATACACCAGTAAATTATTATTAGTTTAATGGTCGCAGACGTTATAATAGTTTTTAGTATAAGGTAGTTCATGGTTAACGTTAAGTACGGATCATTGCGGTCATGGCTATTATGGTTTTCAAGATGTTTACTAAAGTAATTATATGTCCTATTCTGTTACTAACTGCAGTCGCTCTGATAAGAACTTTTCTAGTCCATCGACCACCTCCACCTTTATCCTGTAATCCACAAGATGATGATCACATCTCGGAAGAGAAGAGGAATCTCTCTGAACACCTATCACAAGCTATACAATTCGAAACGGTAACCACTGATATACATAATTACAATAGCGAAGAACTTGGAAGATTCGGTGATCATCTCAAAAAAAGTAAGCTGGATCGATTTATTCATATATAATGAAATTTACATAAAAAAACAATGAAATTTACATGTTTTATTTATTTATTTATTTATTTTGTTGTTGTTGTTGTTGTTTTGTTTACAAATTTCTAAGTTAGTTTGTTTGTGTGTGCCATTGAGAATTGTTTGTTTTAACTTGCAGGTATTGGTCGATGTCTGGTAACTAAGCAACCTATGTTTGCATACACAGCAACTTTCCAATATTAACAACATATCTTCAAATCATCATCAAATTTGTAACTCGATAATGTAAATTTCAATTTGAAAATTTGCTAATGATAAGATATATATATTTTTTTTCCTTAAATTTGTTTTTTTTTTTATCCGACTCCGTTAGACCGAATGTCTTTGCTTGTTTTTGTGCTCGATTTGTAAATGCTGTTGAATCAATTTTATTATAAGACTTGTATTTTTAGAGAGTTTAAATTCCTTTTTTTTTTTTTTTCTTTTCTTTCTATTATGTGTAAATGTGTTTTGGTTCTATTGCAGATTGTCTGGCTGCAATTTTTTAAAATTGTAGACGGATTCCTACTGGTGTTTGACCGTCCATTCTTCCTTAATCTCGAGAATAGAGTTAGATAGATGAAAGTTGAGACGAGATGTGGGAAGCTCGGATTCGATTAACTATGTATGCGTTATTTCGGTTCGAAAATTTTGTCCTTAATGGAGTTAGATAGATGACTGGCGTGACTCCGTTGTTAATGGGAAAAGTATGATGTATAGGGATGAGATGCTACTAAAATCGAGAGTATTGTGATGAAAAATTGCAGCCCGGCATTGTGATGATGTCCAATAGATAACTGCCTGGTTTTTTTTGTTTTGTGGAAATTTTATTGATTTTAAAGCTAGGCTGAAGGTTGCAAAATAGTCTGCTTTTTTTTATTTCTTTGTGGTTATAAATTTTATAATGTTTGAAAGAATTATTGTTTTATAAATACAATGTGTAAATGGAATTGTTAATAGATATCAAAATAAGCTCAAAGTCGTTTCACCGAAATGACTTTGAGTTTACTTTATTGATCTTGAGCCAGTTTGCTATTGATTTCTTTTTATCAGATCTTAGAGAAATTTCTAAGAGAACTATAATTTGAAATTGACTTATTTTTGTACTTCAAATCAATATGATTAAGAAAGTTCAGTTAGTTCAGACGATTGAAACATTTTAGTGTGTGTTGAAATTAATAAATTGTAACTAGTATATATTTAAATTTAATTTTTAAAAATAGCATTTCATTTTTTCAATTAGTTGAAACTTTTTTTGTGTATTTTCATTTATAAACTCGATAATTCAATTTTTCATTCTTAGAATTTGAATAAAATTTAATTTAAAGTGATTCTCTATAATAAATGGGAAAAAAGCTATAATCATGTTAAATGATAAATATTGATTTATTGATGCAAGTTCCTTTTAGAGAAATAGCTTAGGTATGTACTGTACTGTACTGTACATACCAACTTAAGATAACTTAAAATAGCACATATTTTAAACATCTTAATTCCTATTTTTAAATTATAATTAACTTCTCAATAATAATAAATTACATAATCTTAGTTTCATTTAAAGACCTGTAATGATTCTTAAAATTTTGCATGCTCTTTCTGTAATTCTTAAATGTTTATGCAATATTTGCATAATGCACTAACATTTGAGCTGGTAAACAAATTTAAATAAAGATTTATATTTATAGATTCTTATTATATGTGGTTATATTTTTTTAGTGTATATATGTTGTGTTGTAGTGTGTACATAAGGAAAGTTAGAAAAAACAAATTATTTAAAAATTAAAAATAAGATTAGGGAATATAATGACAAAGCAGAAATGAATTCAGTTAACTAAATAAAAAAATATTCTTCTTTGCGCCATGATTTACATTAGAGTATTACATCCAAGTTGTGTAATTTTACTTAATTGTAATTTAAATATAATTAGATGTAATTACAAAAGTTTTCATAATTGTTATTCTAAAATAAAGAATTATAAAATAGTTTTTATAAATATTTTGAAACTTTATATAGAATATTTTAAGTACAATAATATAAAACTTATTAAACTAAAATTTAAAACATTATTTGTATTTAGATGAATAATCTTGTAATAATTAATGTGTAAAATTTAGTATAATGAAAAGAGAGAAGTAAATCTCTAATAATTTATTAGTTTGACAAATTTTATTATAATTATCTTTATTATAGTAATTAAACATTAACTTTGATAACTAAACATATTTAATTTAGCTAACTAGTATTTTTGATCTTTAAAAAGATAATCTTTAGGTCTATGCAATGCAATTACAGATTTTATTTGATGTAATTAACAACATGTAAAATTTTTATTTGTTGTACAGTTATTTATAATTGTGTGGACCGAAAGATAATTTTTGGGAAAATTGAAAGTATTATCAGGTTTATACGTTATCGAAGGTATCAAGGTACAGTCGATCCCCCTATAACACGGTAGATACGTTCTGTTCGTTATGAAATTGATGTTCTACGAATCCTTAAATACATGAGTCAATCACAGCCCGGTATGTATGCAGTTTACAGTCTATGGCTGTTTGAAAGGTTTTCTTCCATAAAATTAATCGATTCTAGACTAATTTGACTCAACGTTTCCAAAATACATATAATTTTTTGGGAATAATTCATATAAACTATGCTATAAACAAAAAATTGTAGGATTACTTACCAAGCGTGCACCGTTCGATGACGCCATTGCTTAAGCTTGTTTCATCGTGGAGCGGTGCATTGAATGGCGTTGCATGCTTCCTGATAAATTGTTTTTCTGGGAAAATTTTGCTGAACTTTGGAGACATCATTAATATAAATATAATTTTTATGGATGTTAAATAATAAATGGTTTTTAGTAGGTCTGCTGTCTACAGAATAAATATGAATCTTTACACTAAACTCAACGGTTTGTGCAATATCCGCTATTGGTCTAGATTCGACCAATCCTGTCGCGACATGAGTTGGCGATGACGATTTGCTGAATTATACGAGTCTCTTTTAGCGTGTTTATACGAATACGGTCGCAATTTTTTCACCATCATATAGGAATCCGAACTATATGAACCCATTTTGTGGAGGGACTATTGTATATACATTTTGAATTAGAGTCCACTGACATAAACTCACATTAACATAAATTTAAGCTATGGAAGATATTTAAATCATAGGAATTAATGTGAAATTAATTGATTATTTATTCGTTTATGGCTTAAATAATATACATGTATTGAAATTTTATCCCAAACATATAAATTTTAACATAAGGTTTTCAAATCACATAATCAGTCCAAACTTTTAAAAAACATATTTTTGTTAGCCATTTGTTCGATAACATATATACCTGATGATGTCTATTCCGCTGAGACAAAAACGTTCGTAAATTTTCCTTTTTTCTGGTTATTTGCTGGTGTTGGTTTTATGAGTGATATACATATATATTTACACAAATCATTTCTTGAGATGTATTGAAAGTATTAGCTAAATAGACATTTGTTCTGGTTATCAACATTTAGTTTTTAATCTTGATAACAAGTATAACTTGATAAGAACTTCCTATACTACTTTTTAGTCAGTAAAAATATAAACATTGAATAACCTGATTCTTGATTAATACCAAACAGTCTGTCAGTTCTTATTGGGCTATATCATGTTTACATTTAATAATAAGATAATGAATAATTTTTGCTTAGAGATAGACATTTTCTTTAAGAGTTTTTGTATCCTTTACTTCACAAGTCTAAAAAATCTAATAAGCATAGCTGTATTTATTAAAAAGAAGTAATATGGTTGATAATTTGCAATATCAGTTATTTGATTGGATTGATAATCATTATATTTGAAGTTATAAAAGTATATAATTTATTTTTTTTTATTATTCTTGGGTTGATTCTATTAATAAACCTATTAACTGAAATTGAATGTATACAGAAAATCATATTTTAACATTTTATTTTGTTTATTTTAGCAAAGCAAATATGTGCTATTTTATTCTGTTTAATATTAATTTCTAATATATTTGATTCAAATAAATGTTCTCATTCATTAATAAGATTGATTCAACAGCATTGTATCTGATTTTTGAAAAAAAAAGGAAAAATCATCTACACATACAATTTGCTACATCATTTAAAAATGTATTTGTTATAAAGGTAATTGATTTCCTAATATTTTTATTGAAAATATTAGGAAATCAGTTGAAAGTAAATTTTCAATTGATAATAAACACTAAAACAAATCATGGAATTTTTTGATATTCTTTTGTTCATTTCCAAATTGATTTGAAATTCAATAATTGAATATCACAATTTTTACACTAATACTTTTGTGTATTGTTGCCACATGAAAAATATTAGCATTTCATTTTGATTGAATTATAGCTTTGTAATAATAATTTTTATATCATCATTAATATTACCAAAAAATAGATGGCTAATACTGTTTCATACTCTAGTCAAAAATATTTACTATTTCAAAATGTATAAAAAAATATTTTGATTTTATGTATTTGTTAGAATGCAAAATAAATAAACATCATAATAGAGAATTATTTTAATTATTTATCTTGTTGTCTATTTTTGTGTTTTTAAATATGCTAAATTTCTTGGTAGATTCATATATTTGTATTTATTTATGAAAAATAAAAATTAAATTTGAAGTATTTTTGAATATATTTAGCCTTTCTCACAGTAAAACATTTTACTAAATGACAATTCTAATTTTAAAAAATGTATTTGTTTTTAAGTAGTAATTTATATTAAATAAAACAGTATTGCAATTTTTAAATTAAAATAAGTCATTATAGCTGAAAAACAAAATATTTTTTACTGATTTCACATAACTGATTAGTCAAATGTGGTTTCCGAATTGACTATTTAAATAAAATATTATTGATGTTTTTTAAGCTTTACATTTAAATAAAAATGAAATATATCATTAATTAAGTAATACAAATAAAGGAGTTTTACAATTTAACATCTTAAATTATTTTATCATAAAAATAATAATTTATTTTAAGATATACTGGTATGATTAATATAAAATATATTGAGATCAGTCTCACTTTATATTTAATAGAATTACATTGTAACTTTAAACATAAAACGTTTCAAATATTTTTAGGTTAAATATTTTAATACTTTTTAAAAAATTCATATTTAAATTATTAATTTCTTAAAATATATTTCTACTTATTAGACTTTTTATAATATATATGAATATATAGAATTTCATTTTTAGGTAAGTAATATAAAGTAGTTTAATACTTTATCAGTGTTGTAAAAACATAGAGGTTTCTGTAACATAATAGTTTGTAATCTTCATATAATCATTAGAAATATGACTGTCTACAGAATAAATATGAATCTTTACCTGCACTGTTTCACAGAATACAGAAAGAAAATTTTTTTCTTTGAAGATATGATCAATAAGTACCAACTAGTATTTTATCCACCTCTCAGGTACAAAAATGCAAGTCACATCCTAAGTCATCAGAACAATGTCCTCTGTCAGGAAAATGCATCTAATTTGAGAAAACCATAAGGTTTTGATATTCCATGTATTTGAGACCCCTGATTTTTCAGGAGTATTTTTTATTTTATTGTTTTCATTTTCATTGCTTTTTTTTGTTTTATAAAGATTTAATTTTTTTAATACAGTGGGTTATCGGTTAACGAACAAATCGGCTAGCGAACACTTTCACTAAAGATTTTTATGTTCGGACAACGAACACCTCTCAGAACAAACACAATAAAAAGAGAAGTAAAATAATGAATAGCGATTGGTCTTCCCTTGTCTTCAGACAACAATTCGAAACTTTTTGGAGTGCAGGAGACGTCAACATCGATGCTCAACTCGGTATATACTGATCGGATAGTATTCCTCTGAACTTTGAAACTCTCCCTTGTAATTCCAGCCTTTTATTTTTCTGACAGAAACAATTTTTTATAGTATTCACAAGACTGTTGGGCAGGCACTCATTAAGTTTTGCGTCGGTTTTTATTTTCGAAAGGTGAGAGTATAATAGCAAAAGTAGAGAGTGGGCAGATGTCTGATGTCTATTGCTGCTGGGCAGTATGGCTTGAACAGGTTTACTGTAAGCCGCAGTTCAATCTTATCTAAGAAAGATACTGTATAATCAAGAAAACTCAAGCAGCTAAAGGAGTAACAAAAATCACATCTGAGAAATAAAGAATATTGAAGAGCTTGTAATGGAACCTGAAACTGATCTGACGACAGAAGAACGCCAAGAACTCTTAGATGAAGAACACCAAGAAACTTGGTGAGATATGTTTTCTTCTGAAAAAGAATCCAAACCAGATTGAAGTTAATAGGCTTAGGGATCTCTACAATTACAATGCTATTACTTACTTCCGAAAAATCCTGAAGAAGAGAGAAAAGCAATCGACATTAGACAGATTCTTTAACCCTTTCAAACAGAAAAAAAACACGACTAATAAAAACGCAAGACTATGTATGTATGTATTTTTATTATCATCAATACATATAAATAAAGGTAGTAAGAAAGTATATATTTTTTTATTTTGGGGGG